GGCAATAAACGCATACACACAAAATTAAATATATATATATATATATATATAGTTTCTGAACATTTACATACTCTATTCCAAACACAGCAGATTTATGTTAAACTCAACCCAACTGCTACCAAAGGGTAACAATTCCCTCTAGGTCTCTACTTTTTTTTTTTCTTTTTTTTTGGGGGGGGGGGCTTTTTGAGACAGTGTCTCTCTGTAGCCCTAGCTGTCCTGGAACTCACTATGTAGACCAGGCTGGCCTTGAACTCAGAGATCCACCTGCCTCTGCCTCCCAAGTGCTGGGATTAAAGGCGTGCACCACCACGCCCGGCTAAGGTCTCTATTTTTATTCCAAACTACCCATCCAAAAGTAAGAACAAGATTTTTCAGCAAGATCTTAATCTGACCCAAGAATAAGCAGTCTGAGAAATTTTTTTGAGATTCCTTCCCTCTTTCTGTCACTGGTAACAATGAGAAAAATTAAAGAAAGAAAACCAGCAAACTTTCATCAGAAGCAAAAGAAATTTCCTTAATTGCAGTTAGTACCTATTAAGCTGTCAACAAATGTATTTAAAAAGTGAATGAACAAATCAGTTTTGAGAGGAAAGGAAGACACAAAATGCTGGAGACTATGAAGTGAAAATATTTCCACAATATCTTTTTTCCCCCCTCTTAGAGAGACACATGCTGAGACTTAACAAAGGGACGACTCATTAGGGGGTGTACTAACAGGGTGGAAGGATGATGACAGGGGATACCAGTATTTAGATAACAAGTAGCAAGGATTCTACAACCACCACATTTAACATAATGGTGATTCCACTTTTGGAGCATGGTAAGGAAACCATAATTCTCCCAATAAAGCCAACTCAAGCCAAAGCCCTCCTGTTGCACATGCTACTAAAGAGAATTGTAACTGGTATTCAGTGCAGAAAAGGAAGGTATCTCAATCCTGTTTTGGACACTGATTGTTATTATCATAGATACACAAAAAGGGCAAAACAATACAATCAGCACACTGAAACCATATAGTCAAGAGAATTTAATGGAGGAATGATTTTGGAAGGCACAGGAAGGAATTGGAAAAGGCAGTAGGAGACATATCTTCAGGTACAACGTCAGGAAGCCATGATCATTTCTGTTTAAGGTCAATGTAGCACAGAAAGGTATTCTAAAAGGACTGCTGCCCAGCAAAATACAGGCACACAAAAGGAAGGCTTTGCCACTTCTTCCTAAATCTTCTAGGCATCATGGGACTGCCTACCAATAAATCAAGAACACAGATACTTACTTGAGTTTCTTCTCCCCTAGATCAAGATGAAGAATGGGTAGATAAAGATTCTAAGAGTAAGAAATGCTAGGCAACTTCTGGCATTTCTGTATCTCTAAGAGTAAACAGATGAGCCATTTCTCTATGCTGGTACAGATTAAGGCACGGTCCCTCTCTGTGGTCAAAGGACACCTATTCCGTATCAGCAGCACTAGTGGACTTACCATGATGTACTATAACCTCTTGTTTGTTTCTCCCTCATTAGACTGAGCTCCTTAAGGGCAAGGGCTGCCCTGTTCCTCTTATATCCCCAGCACCCTATCAAAGTGCAGTCACTCTTCAATGTGTGCTGAATCAATTCATGGTGGTTAAAACACAGAATGACCCTTAGTAATTAAACATCGAGTTATAGTCAGGACATAGTATAATACATTAGGCAAAACAGCCACTTTTAGAGCAGCTCTCTGTTGTCTATATAGTAGTCTTTCTCATATGCTCAGGCAACTGTGCACAGATCTTTTCACAGTCACAGAAACTCCAATAAAAAAAAAAAAACAGAGCAAGACAATAAGACTGCATTTAATTTCAGAGGGGTAAAGCATATATTATCTCTCAACTTTCTCTTTCTTTCTTCAAGAATTTTCCAGATTCACTGAAGGAGCTAATAATTTAGGTATGTATATAGAGGAATTCATGGAGATAGGTTAGAGACAGAAACAAACATACACATACATCATGTCCTGTCTACTGATCACTTCAAAAGATCTCACCCTTGGAATTATAAAGTACTTATGTAACAAAATCATGTAACCTCATCATATGAAAACAAGTACAGAGAATGATGTTACAGCAGTCATTAACAGAACATGGAGCCTATTCACATTGTAATTATGAATCACTTTCGTATAACCTATATTTATGAAGTACTTAGTCATCTTTTTACCAGTGTAGTCAACTCTTACCTGTAGATACTCCACAGAAAAAGGAAAAAAGAAAAAGCTCAAGCCTCTTTAAGCTAGCACTATTTTAGGCTGCCAATCTTGGTAAAGTGAAAAAACTCAAACATTAAAGTAAATAAAACTCAAACTTTAATATGAACTTTAGACTCTACTAAAAAGATAAGTTTACTATAAAAATCTGTCTTCCAAAAGTTCTGTCTAAAGTTCTGTATCATTTGTATCTCTATTCTCTTTTGTTGTGATTTGTGAGAGAGTTGGTGTTAAATCTAATGTCATTTAGCATATATCTAGTTAAAATAAGTCAGTTACTTTCTATTTAGGAAAAGGAAAATTTGGCTTATATTAATAATATACTGAATTACTTTAAAAGAAACTTCATCAGTAGCACCAGAAAAACTTCAGTAATACATAAACAGATAAAAACAAGTTTCAAACAGATCAACTTTAAAAAAAAAAAAAACTTATTGTGTAAAGTACCAAAGAAAGTTTTTTTTTTCCAAAATCACTAAAGACATTGTGGCAGCCTGTGCTACACAGTAAGTTCTAGGACAGCCTGGGCTACAAACATCCTGCTTCAGAAAACCTAAAGGGAGGAGACATTGTAAATATTGTCAATGCATTAAGGCCAACATATTCCTGACATTGTGAGGAAAATGAAGCAATAAAACTTCTCTAAATGCAATAGGGAAAAAGGAAACAGCAGATGGATCATGTTGAAAATATAGGCCATGAGAATTTATATAGTTGCACTGCACATAAGTTCCCCCACTGTATAGGATCTTTGTCAATTTGTTTGAGACAGGGTTTTATTCTGCAGTCTAGGGTAGTCGAGAATTATATATCCCAGGCTAGCCTAGAATGTATGACAATCCTCCTGCCTTAGCCTCCTCAGTGCTGGGTTACAATCATGAGCCATGACATCTATCTCACACATGATTTTAAATCATAGATCTACCATATGGTTTTGTATTAATAACATTATCTTCAACTACCTAAGAGTAATTATTATGTTTCAGTCTGCCTAATCAGTGTTGGTCCATAAGAAAACAACAACATAATTTAGCCAGACATGGTAGAACATGGCTATATTCCCAACACTCTGGAGATTGTGCAGGAATGTCACAAGTTCCAAACCAGCCTGGGCTATACAGCAAGACTCTGTCTCAAGTGAAAGAAAGGGAGGGAGGGAGGAAAGGAAGAAGGGAGGAAGGGAGGGAAGGAGGGATGAAAAGAAGGGAGGAAGGGGGAAGGGAGGGAATGAAGGAAGGAGGGAGGGAAGGAAGGAAGACAGGAGGGAGGGAGGGACAAGAGGGGAGGAAGGTCATAAATTTTTAAAGCAATAATTTAAAAATAATCAATATGCCCTGGAATCGGAAAACCTGTTTCTATAAACTATTTCTGTTTATTGAGACAGAGTATCCATTTGTAGGCCAGACTGGGCTTGAGCTCAAAATCTTCCTGCCTCCACCTCACAAATGCCTTGGTTACTAACCACTACTCCCTGTCTAAAGACTGTTCTAAACCTGTATCCCCCTCTCTTAAACTTAATTCCTAAGGTTTACTGTGGAGCTACAAAGTGTCCTGGTAAATAACAAAGGTTCATAGATAACAAAAGGAACTATCCCTTAAGAAAATGCATTTCTAAAGAACAGACAGACTTTATTGGAACTTGGTAAGATTGCAGGCACCTAAACAGTAAGGTTGGAAGCAAGAGAGAGGAATAATCAAGAACTGCAAGATTAAAACCCCGGGATATTTCCTAACTCTGAGAAGTCATTATGCAGACTTGGATCCTGGATGTTAAAGCCACCCCATCACCCTGAGAACTTGCCAGGACTGCTCAGATTACTTAAACAAGAGTCTCACCACCCGGGCCTCTAACCCCAGGTATTCTTGTTTTCCCTAACATAAATAGCTCACAACATAACTGCCTGACACAATGCATAAAAAAGGTGAAAGCCACTCCTTCGAACGCCTGTCCTTTATCCAGATGATTCTTATTCTTTTTTGTGAAAAAGAATAAACGCCTGGCAACCAGCAACCCCAGAACTGCAGTCTTCCAATGAGGAAAACGATGCTGCAGCCTAAGAATTGTCCAGTGCTCCCGGCTGGGCTGTCACAGAAGACAGAAAGCCACATGATGGCCAGGGCTGCGCAAGAAGTAAACAGCAGGTCTGGGAAACACTCCTGCGGGGGGGAAAAAGCAAGTTTCCTCGGACCTCACAGGGCAGAAACCTGGCATCCTCATCCCCATCTGCAACCTGACAATTTACAACCTGGCAACACCTTCTAATTAGGAACCTTCTAGCCTTTTATAGTCGAAAAATTCAAAGTGCTTTTCACAAGAATGATAAACCGGGTACTGGCGCCTGCTCCTTGGAAGCCCGGGTGCACCAAACCCCCAGTTTCGCTGCAGAACTTGATGAGCCAGTGACCAGGATTCTCTGGACGCTGGAGAGGGAGGGGCCCACTCTGCCTGGCACAGTGGACCGGGAAACAGAAGACAGGAGCAGAGGCGTGCAGGACGTCCAAGCAGGACTGGGGTCAGCGCACCCGCAGGGCGGGCGGGCAGGCAGGCAGGGGAGGCCACGCGGGAGCCGAGGTGCAGGCTGCAAAAGCGGAGGTCCCCGGGCTGCGCAAGCTGCTCCCCAAACTCACCCCGCGGCGGCGGTGGCGCGCGTGCGCCGGGCACACCCACCCCACTCCGCTCCGCCGCAGTCCCCACCCAAAGACCCCCGTGCCGCACGCCCAGCCCCCCACCCCGGGCCGCAACGCCTACGTACCCAGCAACACACACAGCACATCGAGGGCCACGTACGGCAGCCGCGTCCTGTCAAACATGGTCTCGGCCTCGGATGGTCCAGGTACCCGATTCTCTGGAGCCTCCCGCCCTGTGATGGAGGCGGCTCCGAGCGGCGGCTCCTCCGGGATAGGGGGGGCAACGTTGGCGGGCAGACGGCGCCCGGGACCCGTCGCCTCACTGCCCCCCGTACCCGGCAAACACTCGAAGGCCAGTCGCCACAGCTTTGTCGCCTCAGGCGCCAATCTGTCAGCGCTGGCTGGCCGCGGCCGCTCGCCGTCCGCTCCCTGGCGCCCTCTCCAACAGGCGGGGCGTGTGGACTCGGACTTTAAGGCTGAGGACCCGTAGGGAGGAGAAACGAGGGCTCAGCCCCTCCTGCCCAGCCGCGCCGCTAGGGCCAGCGCGCGGTCTCGTCGGCCGAGGTAGCGCGCAGCGGCGGAGGAGGAGGAGGCGGAGCCGGGGAAAGCCCAGGCCAGGACGGACAGCCAATCAGCGCCGCCAGCCCCGCCCCCGACCTGCGGAGCCTGCCCTGAAGTTGGGCGCCGGCTGACCGGGCGGGGCGTGTTGCAGAGATTTGGAGCCTTGCTCGGATGGTGTTTTCCACAGATGGTCTCTGAACTCGGCCTCCTCTGCTCTTACTGCTGGACCATCTTTGTTTTAAAGGAGAGCTAGCCCCTCTACCCATGATTCCAGCTGCGGCCGCCTGCCACCCCTCTGCTTCCATGAGAATGGGTGGACAGCGACTGACGCTCCTTGACCACACTTTAAAGTTGGGTTACTTCTGTTCTAGGCCTGCACCTTGGCCTTCCTGTGGTTGTAGCTGAGCCTAGTTTTACCAGGAATCCTAAGTCATCTACCCTTGATAATCAGATCATTCTTGGCATTTAATATTTAATATCTGAACAAATTCAGCGTCCTACCTTTGATGGATAAATCCTTGGTCTGCCTTTAACAAGAATCCCCCTGCTGTTGATGCCCTCTTAGTAATTTTCCATCCACTGACTCTTTCTCACTCTGTTCCTTAGCTACAAATCCACAGCTGAGTTTCGTTTACTGAAAGCCATGACTTCTGTTACAATAAAGTTTAATAGAAACTTCATTTGGAGGCTTGGAGATGTGTTTGGTGGTAGAGTTCCGGTTTTGTATGGTAGGAACCTTAGATTTGATCCCTCGCACTCCTCCCACCGTGTGCACACACACAACGGGGAGACTTTATGTCTTAATAAGTACCAATAATTTTTTTTTAATGGCGACAATCCCCATGCCCATTCCCAGGAGTCCCTTAGCGTACATTTAGTAAACTCAGTTTCCTAATCTTTAAAAAGAGGATGTTGATAATCTCTGCTGCCTGTACTAATGGAGAGGAAGTGGGAAGAAGATAATGTGAAAATTGCTTTATAAAGAATTAAACCACCGCTACAGATGTTAACAATTGGTAGTTTCTTCCATATTCATAGCTTACCCCCCCCCCCCTTTTTTGGAGACTTCTGTTACTGTTTGTTTAGTTGCTTGGTTGGTTGGTTCTCGTATAGCCCTGGATGGCCTTGAACTCTGACACTGCTGTGTAGCAGAAAATGGCTTTAAACGTTAAACTCCTGATCCTCCTGCCTTTTTAAAAGAATGTGAACCAAGCCTGACCTAGTGATGCACTGCTTTAATCCTAGTACTCAGGAGGCAGAGGCAGGCAGATCTCTGTGAGGTTGAGGACAGCCTGGTCTGTGTAGTGAGTTCTAGGACAGCTGGGGCTGCAGGATGTCTCTTTCTAAAAAATAAAATAAGATTAAAAAGTGACCTGAAAGCTTTTAACAATTTATACCTAAAAAGATGTGCCATTTTCAATTCTGTGACTTTCCTTATTTCCAAAGCTATAAGGGCCCCAGATTGCAAGGTCATGTTAGAAAGTATTTATGATATTATTTATGTGTTTAAACATTTATCAAGTGCCTACTGTGTGCCAGCTACAATCTAGACTCGGTGTTTTATTTTGGATAGCTTTGAAGTATGCATGCTGGACAAGGTGGTACATGCCTGTAGTCTGAACACTTGGGAGGTAGAAGCAGGAAAATCAGGAATTCCAAAGACAGCTGTGGCTACATAGCAAGTTTGAGATCAACCCGGACTCAAAAAGGAAAGGAAGTATTACCCTTTTTTAAAAATGGCATTTAGTGGTTTTATTGATAAGTCATACTGTGTTATTTGAAGCTACAGTGCATATATTACTGGATAAAATACATCAATAATTACATTAGTGTAATTAGAAACCAAGATTTTTTAATGTTTAAAAAGGGGCTATAGGGAGACCCTGACTCAAAAAAAAAAAAGAGAGACCAAAAAATAAATAAATAAATAAATAAAAAATAAAAAGATACTAAGGGGCTGGAGTGATGACTCAGCAGTTAAGAGCACTGGCTGCTCTTGCAGAGAACCTGGGTTGGATTGTCAGCACCCACATGGTGACTAACAACTGTCCTTAACTCCAGTTCCAGAGGAATCTGATGCCCTCTTCTGTCCTCAGCAGGAATTGCATGATACAGGTGCACTTACATACATGCAGGCAATACACTCATACACATAAAATAAAATAATTAAAAAATAAAAGGTACTAAAAGTAGCCAAATTAAAACACTAATATTAAATTTAAATCAGAAATGTAACTTTGTTTTTTGTTTGTGTTTAGTTTTGTTTATTTTTTTCAGGCAGGGTCTCCTGTAGCCCCAACCAGCCTAGAACTCACTTATGTAGACCAGGCTGTCCTCTGCCCCTAATGCTGGGGTAAAAGGAAGTTGCCACTATTCCTGGTGTGGTTTTGGTTTGAGACAGGGTCTTCCTGTAGTCCCAACTGGCCTAGAACTTCTTATATAGTTTGGCTGAGTTTGATCACTTGAGTTCATGAGATAACAGGCAGCTCTCTTCTGTAATGTAATGTATCCCTTTTGTCAATAGGAAACAGTCTTTTGGCAGAAAGCAAGACATGACCAGTTCCCCATCATCTAGTTTCCTGATGGTCTTAACATCTCTAATATCTCCCTGAATTGATAATCATACTAGGTGTACAAACTACTGACTTCTTTAAAAAAAAATCTATGTATTCATTTGTTCATGTATATATGTGTGTATATACATGTGGGAGCATGAGCCATGATTCGCATGTGGAAGTCAGAGGAAAACTTTGAGAAGTTCATTCTCTCCTCCTACCATGGGTTCCAGAAATCAAACTCGGGTCATCAGGCTTATGTGGCAATCATTCTTGCCCACTTAGTCACTTTGGAAGCCATGGTGTAGTCATTTTTGACATTATTAGCCTCTGGACATTGCCTTGCTTTCTGAAACAATAAGATACCCACAACATTTTTGTTCCTTTTTTGAAGCAGGGTCTCATGTAGCCCAGACTAAACCGAAACTCACTTGTAGTAGAGGCTGCCCTTGAATTTCTGATCTTCTTGCCTCTACTTTCCAAGAGCTGTGATTACAGGCAGGTACCACTACATTTGACCTTAAAATTGTCATTTCTGAGCCTGGTGTGGTGGTGCATGTCTTTAATCGTAGCACTTGGGAGAAAGAGGCAGATGGTTCTCTGTGAGATTGAGGCCAGCCAACCAATGTCCTGTTCCAAAATCAGTACAGCTATGTTTGATCACTTGAGCTCATGAGACAACAACTAGCTCTCTTCTGTAACAGGAATAGGAAATTGGTTATATACTTCAGACTGAAATGGAAAGTAAAGTACAGAGTATCACCTATGAAGAATTGGTACCAAAAATCTTTAATCCAAAGGTCTAGCCTTAAAAAAAAATACGTTGGATAGAGGAATGATTCAAACAAAACCATGCAATAACTACACAAACTCAGAAGCATCTATTTTTTTTTTTTTTGGTCTTTTTGAAGCAGGGTCTCCCTGTAGCCACAGCTGGCCTGGAACTCACTATGTAGACCAGGCTGGCCTTGAACTCACAGAGATCCACTTGCCTCTGCCTCCCAAGTGCTGGGACTACAGGCATGCACCACCGTGCCTGGCTGCATCCATTTTTTTAAAGTGTCTTTTCAAAAGTGGACATTCAGGAGCTGGGGAAATGGCTCTGTTAGTAAAGTGGTTACAATGAAAACATGAGAACTTGAAAACATGAGAACAGCACCCATGTAAAAAGCTGAGCATGGCAATGAGCACCTTAATCCCAATGCTGGGGATGGGGAAATAGGCAGAGCCCTGGACTTCCTGGCCAAGAAATCTAGCCAATCTGTGCACTGTTGTTTCAGTGAGAGACCATCTCAAAAAATAAGGTGGAAAGTAATTGAGGAAGATACCTAAGGTCAATATCTGACCTCTACAGGTATACACACACACACACACACACACACACACACACACACACACACCTAAAAAAGCTGAACATTCAAAATATTTGATTCCTGGAACCCATGGTAGAAGAAAATGGACTTCCAAAAGTTGCCCTCAGCACTCAGATCAGGAGCAACCTGGGCTACATAGCAAGACCTCATCTAAAAAACAAAAAAGCAAGGGGACTGGAGAGATGGCTCAGCAGTTAAGAGCACTTGCTTCTCTTACAAAGAACCCAGGTTCAGTTCCCAGCACCCACAGGGCAACTGTCCATAACTCCAGTTCCAGGGGATCCCACATCTTTTTCTGGTCTTCATGAATATTGCATGCATGGGTGCGCTTACATGCATGCAAAATACTCATACACATAAAACAATTAATTAAAAAACAAGCCTTCAGTTGTTGGTGCATGCCTGCAATCCCGTTTCTGGGAGATAGAGGCAGGAGGAATATAATTCAAGATCGGCTTAGGCTATATATTAAGTTCCAGACTAGTCTGGGCTACAGAGTAAGAAGAGTCCCTATCCCCAAATGCCTTCTCCAAAAGAAAGTGAAAAAATTCTTATCAGTGTTTTTGTTTATTCATCCATTTAAAATTTATTTTGAAAACATTATTAAAAGATATGATTTATTTATTGAGATGTAATTTATTAAGAGACATAATTCATTGTTCAACAAGATGGCTCAGCAGGTAAAAGCACTTGCCATCCAAGCCTGACAACCTGAGTTCGATCTCCAGAACCAACAGCTGAAGAAGAGAACTGACTCTGACATTGTCCTCTGACTTCCACACACGCACCATGGCACATGTGTACCCATACTCACACACAACAATAAACAAAATAATTTTTTAAAAAAGAGATGTAATTCACCTAAGCTACCATTCACCCATTTAAAGCATACAGCCCTATAGTTTTTAGTATGCTCTCAGAGTTGAGCAGCCATCATCACAATCATTTAAAAAATATTTTTATCACCCAAGAAAGAAACTTTAGAAATATTGATGAATAGTCATCCCAACTTCTCTTCTACCATGCCTAGGCCCTAGATAATTACTTGCTCATTTTCT